GGTCTGCGCCTGCGCGCGGTTTTGGGGTTATTTCCCCCGCTTTGCTCTCCTTCCTGTGGTCTGGTGACGTCACTGCTCGGGGCGCGCGGGGCAGTAAGCGCCGCTCTCACGTGCCGGAACCCGCCCTGCTCCGGGGGCTTCCCCGGGAGATCTGGCCACCAAAATAAATCGTTATTCCACTTTTTTTTTCTTTTCTTTCTTTCTGACCAGCTTTCCTAAACTCCCTCCTCAAGCACTACTGCTTGAGTGAACAACTTTTATTTTAGAAAACTTACAGAAAGATGTTGCTATTTTTATTATATATTTTTTAAATTAATCACCTTTATATTGGGAAATTACTTAGGACTACAAATGTTTTGAAAAAGACATAGAAAAATGTAAGAAAATGGTGAACTGATAAAATGCAAATTTTTCATGTACTTAGGAGAGCTTTGTGCACCACTCATGGCACACTTCAGGCATGTGACTCATCCTGTTAACCTTAACTGAAGTGTGCTTAGGTGTTTAAAGGATGGAGTACTAACCACAGGCCTTCTGCAGAGGTCATGTATCAAAAGCTGCTCAGAACCTGGGTTTTAGCACTTTCGGAATGAGTAATATTTGTATGAGGTACCCTTCCGCTTTCCATCCAGCACCCTTTATGCACTGAGTTAAATGGGTGTTCCGGCAAAGCCTCTATTAAATAAACTGAATCATCCTGGTGCCCAAAAGACAGGTCTCCAGATCATAAACTGTCTGGATGTTGGCAGCTGCCAGGGTGGACTGGAAAGCAGCTGAGCTGAATGCTGGAAAACACCGTTTTACGCAGAGTTTGCAAGGCGCAGTGCCAGCCTACATTATAGCTGTCTCTGATCTCAGTTATTGAACACTGAGATTTCTTTTTCTTTAAATGATAGATTAAGCAAATAGAAGGCAAGAGCCTCAGGGTGATAATTAGCTGTTATTCACAAGGTATATAATCTAGATAGCAAACTGACGTGTTGTGATGATGACTTTTGGCTCCAACAGAAAAACAGGCTTGGGAAGTGTTTCCTTCCTCCTCCTCTTCCCCAAAAACCAGGGATATTATATTTCGGTCATTTCTGACAGGTACCTGCCCAGCCTGCGCCTAGAAAGTCACCAGGCAGGGCTGTCCCTCTCCACAGCCACCTCTCCTTGTGCTTCCTCAGCTTCATGAGGAGAAAGTTGTTTCCAACGTCTCTGCTCTGGGTCCCTGCTCCCAGAGCCTGGTCAGCTGGCAAGGAGGTGACTTTATTGCCACCTCCCCCACAAGTGCCCTGTTGGGGACCCCAGCAGGTCTCTCTGATCCACTTTTCTTTGGGACAAACAACCCAACTCTTTGTAAAACCTCCAATTCTCTATTCCAGCCACAGCAGACTACGGCACAGCAAGTGGAGCCTGACTCTCCCCAGGCACAGCAGGAGCATAAATTCATTTGCCTGACAAACACTGTCCCTTTTCTGTATCCCTCAGTGCTATCTGACCTTTTCTGTAGTAGCCTGGCACGGCTGATGCCTGCTAGCTTGTGATCCCCGCTAGCCAGCGAGCCTCTTTTTACAGTGATGCTAGCAAACCAGTTTCTTCCACAACCTGTTTTTACTGCGATCAGTTATTCCACCCACAGCGGGGAGCCAAAGCGTGTCCCACGGATCACGTGTTTCCCTGACTATCATTCACCGAGTCGCGGACGGTGCGTTGGGCGAGCGAGTTTGCTCCTCGGCGCCCAACCATCACGCAGTGCAAGCAGAGATGGAGAAGCGCCCCGGCCGCGCTCCTGCGGCGCCCTGCTCGCTGCCCCGGCAGAGGCAGCAAGCCGCGCTTGAGAAATATCCCCACTGGGCACTCAGCCATTAGTGGTTTCCTCCAGCTCGCTAACAGTGCTAGCAGTCTTTCTGAAAGCCAGATACCCGGCTTCTGTGGCTTTTCTGCCACACACAGAAGCAGTTACCCAGGCACGGCAAAAAATAACACTGTTTGGCATGATCTGTTTGAGGCAAATTAATGTGGCTGATACTGATTTCTGAGCTATCTTGTGGGTAATTTGATTCATTTTCTCGTGGCTGAGCTCATCATGGGAGGTGCAGATTCCTCATGCAGTCATGCAGGTTAGGCAAACTAAATTGAGAGACTGGATTCTTCTGTAGGTGCTCTAAGACTGTCAGTGATCTGACACACTCATTTCAAATCCACAGCAGTCACAAAATATCACTTTACATCGCTTTATGCTGGGGATAGAAACACTTAAGAGTCCAAGAAATAAACACCACCAGTCTTATTTGGGAGAGATTTCCAATAACTGTATTGGGTTTCTCAGGATTGTTTTCAGTCTCATGCTTTAAACGGAGACTTCCGAGACTTCTTAGTGCAGAGATCAGTGCAAGCAAGAACATTTGTGCCTCACCAAGCTGTCCGCAGCGCCATGCTCTGGGATCGGGAGTGTTCAGTGTCCGCTCACGTCCATGGCTGAACTGCATTTTAAGAAAAATTGGGTCCTGCTGATCAGCTACGAAATCAGGACGCCACTGATGAAAATAAAATTAACATTTTAATGATATACACATCGACAAAGAGCAGGTTTGCCAGGAAGAAGTGGGGATTATGATACCAAACAACAAGAATTAGTGCAATAACAGTTCTCTTAACAAGAGAACTACTAAGTTTAAGAAAGAAAGGAGGAGCCTAAATTCCATAGTTTAGTTAGGTAAACTGCTTTGAAAGTGTCTGCTGCTTAAATATGGCAAAAATCCATAAAAATAAGTATACAGGAAAGAAACAAACATCTATAATATGTGGTATATATAGATAAGAGACTGCTATTTTGCCTAAGAGATGAACTGCTTTACATTGGAACTGGTTAAGACATTCATAAGAACTATGGAGAACAGGAGGCAAAAAATAGTTTTATGAGAATAACCTCCTTTCGCAAGATGATAAATAGGATGAAACAGAAACAAGCAAGCGACACCGGAGAGGCATGCCCGAGAGCACAGCGAGATACAGGAACGGAGGGCAGCGGCGCAAGTTACAAAGCTGGGCGCAGGAAATCCAGGCCCAGCGCCCACCGGCGGGTGCCGGGGCTCAGGGGAGGCCTTTCCCAAGACTTCATCGACGCCGCTGGTTTCCCGGGATGGAGGCTCAGGTGAAAGCAGGTGGCGCTCGTGTCTTTGCTAGGGCGGCAGCTGGAGCCTGCACCGCACGCAGCGGCTGCACAGTCGCACGCTCGGAGGCGCATCCGTGCGCGGCCCTTCCTGCGCGCCAGCCCCCTGCTCCCCTTCGTGGTGCCGGGCACCTCTGCACGCCGGCGGCTCCGGCCCCGAGAGGCATCGCCTCGCTGCAGAGGCTCCCGCACAGGCCTGGAGCAGGAGATCCTTTCCACAGGGAGCTGCTGAGACGAAAAAGAGCAAAATGAAAGTTTATCTATTTTACCGAACGTATGCAGAGCGCCTCGTAATCATGAATGCCTGGAAAACTGTGAAATGCGTGTTCGCCACATGCACTTGCAGATGGCTGCAGCATCTGAAGCAGATCAAATGGGTTGTACATTTTCCTCATATTGCTCTGGAGCCAAAGCATTTTCTTTTCAAACACTTACTGAAATATTTGGACTTATTTTCCAAACAGTGCTAAGAGCCTGATTTGCAGATCTACTTCATTTTGTAGGGCCTTGGCACTTCTGAAAGTTAAACGCCCAGCTGTTTTTATGGAACTCTGCTACATTATATGCGAAAATGAAAACATGCTAAGCTGCCACATGGAAGCAACCTGAAGTTAACTGCTGCTCGAAACTCTGTCCCTCCACCTATTGCACCTCCTCACCTCAGCCTCTTCCAGCCTTGAGCAAACACCTCCCACGGTTAACAAATCCCTGTGCTGGGTCCCCCCACCCTCCAAGATTAACAAACCAACCTCCTTGCAGATTATCAGGGAACAAACTTCAGAATCAAGGGCACGAAAGACATTGTGGCTCTCTATCAGATCAGTGTGTTATCTCAGGGGTTTTGCTTTGCTTACGTTCAGCTCCTGTGGCAAAGATCAATGCAAGGCCCCACGGGCGAGGAGGAGGCTTTCTTTTAAATCCATTTCACTCAGACTGTCTCTCATGGACAGTGCCCAGCTGGAGATGCGCGTGCCACGCCGCCCAGCCACGCTGCTCCATGCAGGAGCACACGCAGGCTGCACCGGGGTGGCCCCAGCACAGGCAGTGCCCCGGTGACAGGGCAGAGGCCCTCAGCGCAGCAGCCGGAGCCGGGTGCTGACATGGGCACCCTCAGCAGCCCCAACGAGGCACAGCCACCAGCCAGGGCCAGGGGCCAGCAGGGGCAGCAGGAAATGGGACCAGAGGGGACTTGAAGCAAGGCCACAACATGGCTCTGAGGTCTGGGAGCCCGGGCTGGAGAGCAGCTCCCCCCGCGCAGCTCTGAGGCCCGTCCGTGCAGCAGCCGGGGCTGCAGACAAAGCCGCAGCGGAGCACAGCTCGCAGCAGGAGCAGCGGCCCGCGCCTGGGCTTGGTGGAGCCCCTGGGCAGGCTGCATGGGGAGGGGTCCCCCATGGCGCCTGCCAGGGCCATTAAGACCTGCTAGTGCCCTCAGGACCCTGACGCTTCATCGGAGCTCTTGGTTCTCCAGGTCTGGGTATCTTGAGAAGCTCGCGGGGTGTGCTGCGATCTCAGGGACCCCGTCTCAGCGTGCCTGCTCGGGCCGTTCCTTTAGCCCCTCTGGCTCTTTCTTGACGATTTTGTACCCATGTATGGACATTTACACCTTGTTCATGCCAACCTTACTGTTGGCGATTCCCTGTGGCTGTGCTCTCGTGTTGCAGGAGGAGTCTTTGCTGGTGACCAGGCTGTGAACAACTCAGTGCAAACTCAGCACTGCTGAACGAACATCGCGAACATAACCAAAAGCTGGCGCAGAGCGAGAACCCCACTATGAGGTGTTCCCTTCCAACGTGAAGCAGAATTTAGCAAATAGGCTGCCACTCCCTGCGCAAGCTCCATCTTTTTGAGCGGAGCCCCGTACTGAGCACTTTGTGGTCGTGTAATCTCACATGCAAAGTTCTCAGCACGGCTCTTTACAGTGATAAGCTATATTTATCATGCAGCTAATACAGTCTAAAACAGCGTTATATTTAAAATGAATTAAATAAATTCTCAATTATTTTCTGGAAAGTCTGGCACGTTACATAATGCTCAGCCTTAGTGAAGAGGTAGAGGCCCACAGAAGGCACTTAGCTATACAGAAAGTGAGGTCACTTGGAGGAATTCCGTTTCAGTGAAGCAAATGTGAGGGTTTGTTCATTCCAATAGACTTTCATCAAACAAAGCTGAATATATGTAAGCTTTTATGCAATTACATTTAAGTTAAACTTGTTTCAGCCTCCATTCTTCAAATTTATCTCAGATTTCCTAGAAGGAGCTTGTTATTTATAAAGCATCTCATACTCATTCAGTGTGACCTTAATAAAGAGAATAAACAGAAAGAAATAAATAGCTTGTGGCATTGCAACAAATGGTATTATTGTTTTGGAATTTTCTTCAGCAAAAATAGCTTATTAACAGTTTTATGTTGAAATAGACCACCTTTTTATTCCTGGTACAAAATATTTAAGGGAAAAGCAATCCATTTTCTCCAAGCATACCTTGGTACATCTAATTCCTTTCCAATAAATGAGCAGGGCAAAGAGGATTGGGGCTTACTGTGAAATACTTCAATAAAGGCAAGATTTGTAGCAAGGATAAATCAACATTCTTGCCTGGCTTTAGTGGATTTATGCCCATTTATACTAGGCAAGAATCTGGCTCATTACCATTGAATGAACTACAAATAATGTGCCGAGCAAGAGTTTGAGTTTTAACTCCTATTTCCTTGACTTTGTTGGCTTAAATCAGACTGTAAATATTTTGAAGACTTCTTGTTCATTTTAATGTAGGGAGAAGCTGGTCTGCAGAATGGATACATTCCCTCCCTTGAAAGCAAGCTTTTCAAACAAGGCCTGTACAGCATTATTAAACAGCCTGAGCAGAGTAAGTTGTCAGCGTTTCTAATCCATACCTTTCAAGTCCTGAAACGTAGCCTTTAGGGCAACACAAACAACACAAAATCAGTTGACTGATTGTCCAAGGCTGCGATGACTTGGTGGCGCTCAGCATGACACGGTTTGGTGTCCTATGCTCACTCCCGTGCGAAGCGCTCTCCTCCAGCAAGTGCCACGTGGATATTCCTAAAGCACACGGCACGCGGGGACAGAGCAGAGCGGGGTATGGGGGGGCACAAGGCAGCAGGCACAGCTGGTGCTGGCACTCGTGGACCCTCAGGGGCACTTGTGCCACTTCCCTGGAGAGTCTTTCCTCCGTGCCGAGGGACTTTTCATGTCCTTGTTTGTGCTGCTACAGGAGTTGCACAACTGCAGCGATGCCGACCGGGAACTGTTTGTCTGGAAGCAGCCCCAGCAGCAACGACACGTAGCTCCCCTACGGCCGCTGCTCTCAGCAGCGCTGCCAGGTGGGTGGTGGTCGGATTCTGCCCACGGAGCAGGCTGGAGAAAGCGGGTACCTGCTCAGCATGGACAAGGCACCCCAGGCTGGTCACAACTGCAACAGTGTGCCGGGCAGGCTGGGGACATCGGGCCATACAGGTCTCCATTTCTGACCTCTAAGAACAACATCCCACACAGTGGCATCACAAATGGCATCACAGTGGCAAATGTCCTTTGTAACTAGCATATGCGTTCAAAAGTATTTTTACTAAAACGTTTGAAATAAAAAATGCTATTGAATCTCAGAAACCAAGCTGCTTCAAGGCAGGTGTGTGAACAGGGGAAGGAATAACAAGCACTAAACACTGCAGGAATCCATGGTGATGAAAAGAAGGAAGTCTTTTAGATGAATCACAAAGCAGAGGCCACCAGCACATACAGATATTAAATATCTCACACTATTTCCCACGATCATAGGAGGTTTAGCCTTCATGTCTTACTTTACTAAACACTGCCCCTAATAATTCCATTTCCCTTGTCTAAATTCCCTGGCAGTTTTCAATTCAGTCAGTTAAGTAAAGCATCATTTCCTGTCTCAAATGGCAACTATTGTGGACTTGGGTTCCCTAAGGGTCTCACTGCCTTTAGATCAGCTGCTTCACAATCTGAGCACATTCTGCTCCCTCTTTAAAGCATTTTTCAGTGTTTTTGCATGAGGACTTGCTCTGTTGAGGAAATCCAGGCCTTAAGAGTAAAGATAATAGGCAAGGCGTTTCCTCAGCATCAGAGGGATTGCAGGAAGGACTGCAGTTGTGGCACTAAAGAGTCAAGAAGATTCAGTTTAGGGCACTCAAAGGAGGCATCTTGTGGTTGGGGCTTCAAAATTCATGCTCTCCTCTGCCTTTGCTAAATGTTTCAAGGCTTTACACTCAACCTCATGGTTGAAG